ATTCAGACGTTCCAAGGAAAAGGGTTGTAACAGTTTTGGGGAAGTACAGGGCAAATGCCCAAAGCTCTTAGCGCCTGCCATCTGCTAAAACATGCACAGAAAATGGATAACGTCCAACAAAAGGTGTGATGATAATGTTATGTACTCAAAAGATGTAAAGTCCTAAAGTAATCCAGCTTGGAACGTGCAAAATTTAACTTTTGTTTCCGTGATAATTACATTACATTACATATTCCGCCCACACGCGTTATGATATTATGTCGAGTAGCTCAAAAAGCGATTAAACAGAAAATAGATTACTACGGGCAACTGAGACGGGATGCAGTCGATGGAGGATCATTATAATTATAATTGATGAAGTGAAAAGGCAGAGGGTTATTTAAATTTCACATTAGATGGATGTTTTGAATGGAATAATCATGTGATCTAAAATGAGTTTCCAAAGAAATTCGATTTAATGTTTTGTTTAGTAAAAAAATGTTATCTTATAGCGTAGTTTTAAAGGGCAGTGTTTTTTAAAGTCAAATAGCAATATTACCTAAAAGAAGCTCAACGATGTAATGAAAATAATGACTGGCCGATAAGCTGTTGAATACTTATTATTTTATTAAGAATTATTGTTAAAAAAGTTTGAGAGAAGTGCTGGTGAATATTTCATTCATGTGCTAATAACATAACAGTGAACCTCACTACCAATCTTTACCTTTAAATGTTAATAACTCGAGAAGTATTTATCCAAAATTGATTATCGACCAGTTATTATTTTTGTTTCTTCAATCTGCTTTTCATAGTAAAATCAAATAATTAGACTACCATCTCACTTCAAAAAGTCACCCCTTCATATTAATTTTTAGAAAAATGTTTTCAACTTAAATATTAATTATAATTTTCTATTATTAAACATGTATACTCGTAGTAAGGATTATATTCGAAACATTTTTAGCTAAAACAATAATTTATAAAAAAAAAATACTATGAGAATTTCGCTCAGCAAGTAATCTTTTTAAGACTACTAGATAAGATGAGGTTTTGTTTGGGGGGAGGGGAGTAATGCCCCGCCAAGCAAGTTCCTCCCCGGAATGCAATGGATGCATGGAGGAAAAAAAAGTAAGATAAGGTTTAATTTAAATAAAAAGAAAACATCAGCAGCAGATTTTAGCTTTTTATAAGTAATTTTTAAGTTATTCTGTAAGAATAATGCGAAAACAAATTTAGTCCTTCAAGATGAACGGGTTTTTGATAAAAATTAACATGCTTAATTTGTACCTAGTTAAGATCTTACTGTAGCGTTTTTTCTTGTTGTAAAATAAATATTTGTATAAGTATTAATAGTTTTATACCATTTTTGAATAGTTAATTTTCAAATTTGCCACCTACTCTAGTAGACGCAATAATAACTTTTAAAATAGTTTTTTGTATTGAAAAAATTATAGATAATCCTTGTACCAATATATAAAGAACAGTTTTCTTATTATCTAGTTTATATCAATCAGTACCTTTTTAAATTACCATTTTTATTAAAAAAATATGTATATATTAGAAGCAAACTTACACAAAATTATACAAACTTTCATTTTTTTATTATTAGGTTTTCCTAAACATAGATTGTTTTTATGAACTTATAGAAAATATTTAAATTTCAAAAATTACTATTTTTTTTAATGTTATAGCCCAAATTAGATAGTAAATATAATTTTAGCGGTACTTTTGAAATGTGAATTTGTATTTATATATTTTGCTTTTTTGGAATGCAAGATATTTGCTTACGTTCATCAAAAAATGCGTCCAACTCATAAAACAGGTATAGTAATGTTTGTTTGAAGTTTAAAAACAATTAATTTATACAATTAATTATAATTTATTATACTTAGAAAACATTAAAAGGTTTGTTTTAGTAATAATATTTTATTTGCTGTCAAAAACAGGAAGTAAAAATATTTAGACAATATTAAAATAATTATTATAAAATATTGTATTTTTCAATGACACTTCCATAATTAAAATATATTATTACTGTTGGGATCGTTAAGTTGAAAGTATTATTGCATAAAGTACAGCTTTTAATTTATGTATTGACTTATTAAAATTAAAAAATAACTAATTAACTAGAGCAAGAGTTAAATAAATTAAATTTAATGATCGTTAATATTTTTTTCTACTAATTAAAGCGTTGTAAATACTAAATGTTTAGTATTAAATATGAATATTGTATAATTTATATTAATTTATTATATTTTATAATTTATGTAATACATTTACTTTATTTTTCATTCTTGATTTTTAAACATTGATTATTAAAACGCTATAACATGCTTTATAATTTGTTTTATTTTAGAAATAAGTCACCATGTGTGATGTGAATATATCAGTTTTCTTCGCAATCGAGTGAGAACTAAATTAAACATATTTTCAACCCTCACTAGTGTGCTTCTCGTTTTTTACTGATGATTTCCTATGTAAATAACATCTGTATGTAATGAAAAATTGTACTTAAAAGTTGAAAAAATATATACATAAACCGACGTTTTTTTTCGAAAACTGGTATTGAAAAAAAAAGCAAAAATTTGGAAAGTATTTTTTTGCCCAAAAAAGGCACGAGACAAACAGAAAGTATTTTTTTTTTTTCGTTTGACCCTTGTTGATTTTTATATTAATAAATACACTCTTGTGTGTATTTTTGTAAGCTTTGGGATGTAACCGAAAAAGATACTTTGCGCTGACACATACGGTTGTACTTTCACTCCCTGCCTTTGACCCAACCACCCCTTTATTCTGTTTCAAGGGTTCATAAACATTTATCCGACGGCCATAAAAATAAGAGTGCTTAAACCGACAGTTTCAAAACGGTCGGCTAACCAGCAGACGTCTCAGCTGCGGTCGACGGTCGCAATTTTCTATTTTGATTATGAGCTTGGAACTTGTACTTAGAAAACTGAAAAGTGTACGAGAGCATCGTAGCAAACACGTGGAGGTTTTTTTTTATATATATGCCGACACAACACAAAGTAAAAGTAAAAATTAAAAACAGAAATGCTAATGATAAACCAAAAATTACTGTCGGATCACCCGTGGTGGCAATGTTTGTATAATAATAATATTTGGTTATAGTATACATTATGTTCGAAGAGAAATTAAAAAAAAAAAAGATTACGCTAATAATGATGGCAATTTCATAAAAAAAAAAACAGTGGGGTCGAGGCATAGTGGGTTAAGAGCGTAATGAGTTCGGGGAGGTTCGTTTCAGGAATTATTATAACTGAAAAAGATGAAATCACTTTTTTAAATTGTAATAATACTTTTTTATAAATCACTTAAAAAAAAATGTTGAGTAACAGTTTTTTGAGAAAATTGTTCATGTTAAAACCTCACTCTAGATCTACCTACAGTCTTATTTTTCAATGATCTTAAGTACTAAAACTACACCTAAAAAAAGCGAAGTAAAGAAAAATTGTCCACCCCTTATTGGGAAAAGTGTTACTGATTATTTTTGGAGTTTTTACTGTATATCGGTAGTAGGTACTATATTCACATAAATTCTGTAAAATGTAGAACTTATTTGACTTTTTTTTTTTAAAGTATAAAGCACCCGTAATTTTATGTTGAATAATATAAAAGTACATATATGGGCTAAAGTATAATTTTAAAAGGGAAGGGGTACTTTTTTAAAACTGTAGGCCTAATTGAATACTTATCAGGTACACATTGATATAAAAACGTACAACATAAAGATATCGGTTCAGTGGTTAAGTAAATATCGTAGATCCAGACAAAAAAGTATATAATTTTAAAACACATAGTTGTAAAAAAAATGCTTTCTCAGTGCTGCATATGTACCAATTAAAACAAATTAATGATTATCGTTTTCAGTGGACAATTGACAACATACATTATAAACATATTGTTTAAATTTTAAAACTTACAGTCATTGTCAAACTGTTGATAACAGTTTATGAGTCTTTACTGTAAAAAGAAGACAAAAAGAGCCTTATTTAAGAGCTTTTTAGTGGGGTCAAACTACCTTTTTAATTATTTAAAACTTAATTTTCCCTTTTTTATTATAATTAGTTTTTAATATTCATTTTACAGTAATAAAAAGTACTGTGATTTGCCAAAATAAACACTATTTAAAAATTGTTATTTTTATTAGTATTGAATTGGTACAATTTTTTTTTTATAAATCAAATTTGTAATAAAAATAGAATAATAGAATTACATTTGTGTGCAATTACAATTTAACAAAATTGTAAATAAAACTTGGCTTTGTCTCAAGACAAAAATAAAACGACGACGACCGAGTAATTTTTTAAAGTATAAATTATTATTCTGAAATTGCATTTTTGTTTAAATTTTTTCCATTCTGCGTTTTACGTTAGTATTTACTTCAAACTTATTATACGGAATTATTAATAATATCCATTATAATAATCTTACGCTGTCGTCTTGTTTAATACATTTTTTTTTTCATTATAAATTCCGTCAAACAAAGAACAACTAAATGCAAATTACACGGTTCGAATTTATATCGCTTAGCTAGCTTTACACCCATACGGCTTACGTAACGACTCGTGTGTACAGTTTTTTTTTAACATTATAACAAACACCCTATACATTAAAAAAAAAAAAAAAAACCGAACCAGGAATCAAATGGGTGTGTATGAACGGTTTTTGACCTTAGAAGCGGTTTTAAGCTGGTGCACAAAGCGTAGGTTTAACTTGCACCGACGGTGGTGTCCTTACCGGTGTCGGACAGGCGATCAGCCGCGAATGGGCGGGCTTAATATTAATATTATTATTATTGCGATAATTATTACGGATTGCATCCCGGATCAAGGATGAATAATTAAAATATATGTATAAAAAAAAAATACACATCAACAGAAACGAATGTCATTAACAACAACAACAACAAGAACAAAAAAAAACCAAACGCGCGCTTTTAGCAGAGCAACAAGTCGCCGCCGTTTGCCGGTAAACCGATTGTATATAAAACCCGGCCGACCGGGTCTGGACCGACATTCGTTTTGCCTCCCTCGATCGAAGTGGTTTAGGACGGATATTTCTGTGCGTTTCGCAGCTGTTCATTTGATTGCCAAATTAAAAAAAAACCGAACAAACAAAAAACCAAAATGGCTTCCAAACTTTTCGTGAGTATACCGCGCAACGGCTTTCGCGATGTTGTTATTTCTTTGTCGTACTATATTGTATCGTAATAAATATATTCATGTCAATAATTGAATTACAAACGTTTGCAACAGGTCTGTTTCGCTTTGCTCGCCTTGTGCGCCGTCGTTTCGGCCGAAGACCCGACGGTGAAGACCGAAGGTTCCGAACAAAGAGTGAAGAAAGCTGTCATCATCCCGCCCGCAGGTAAACAACGTATTACATAAGCTTTGCAGTGCTCTGGGCAACCCTTATTTTATACTCTGTACCCGATACCCCCTCGTGATCTGTATTACCGATAAAACGTACGTGATAAGTACCTATATTAAATTCAACTTTAACTCCAAGGCAAAATAATTAATATTTTTATAAAAATTGACTTTTCATATATTTATAAATTAAATTACAGCCGATTATTTTTCGTTTAAATCATGATATCAATAAATTATTTTTTGTTTGTCATTTTATTTAGGTAAAATAAATAAAAGTAATATTATATATCCAATCAAATTTTTTTTTTAAATTGCCGATTGTTTGTTGTATTTCCAATGCCGGGAGGAACGTCGTCTGTTCAGTTCAGTTAGAATTTTACATACTCACGGTCTTCAAGATAATAAACAAAAATCAAGGGGGTGCCATGGATAAAAAAAAAATGATGAAATAAAGGCGTAAAAAATAATATGTTTTTTAACACACTTCGGTAACTGCACTTTTCCTAATAAAAAATACCTTCGCCGCTATGCATCGAAGCTAAAACCCAAATCCGCCCCGATATGGTTTTCTGGTTATTATTTAATAAATAACGAGCGTAAATTGTTGATTTAGAGATTTTCTAACCCCGCATACAGATGTATAATTAATACCCACTATTTTGCGTGTTGGTCTTAATAAATTATTAAGTATATTTTATTTTCCAACGAGAGGTCGTAAATTTTGAGTTTCGCCGACTGTCGAGCGCGCTTTTGAAATCAGATTAAACCGCCGCGCCGGCATGCCGGCAATTAAATGACAACTATAAAATATGTACTTGTATATACATGTGCCTGTACATACCAATTTCCAAAATCAGGAAATTCGTTTCTCTCCACCGAGGGCTGACGAGAGTTTTGTATGTTATTCGTATAACGAACCTGGTCTACCTGCCTCGTTAAATTAATTTAAACCGGCCACAAACTTTGTAAGGCGTTTTGCATGTAAAATTAAAACGTCCCTACTGAGCCGACGCCATACATATATTATATTATAGTGCGCAACCGGCTGGAGTTCAAAGAGAGGGTTGTCTATCCACATAATACAAAATATACAAAGCGACGTCAGGCCAGATGCCGACAACTTAAAAAAAACCCACTTTTAACAAAAACTAAAAATTATGAAAAAAAACATAAGAGAATTTTTCTAAAGCATTAGTTTTTTTTGGAAAAATTTAAAACAAATTATTTGAACTTGAATTGATAACTGACATATATAAATTCATGTCTAATTGTTGATGTGTTATTTGTCAATTTTATCTAGAAACTGGGCCTGATTTACAAGGGGAAACATACTTTTTTATATTTACTCGGAAAAAAACAGCGTTTTTATTAATTTTTCCGGAATCTTTGAATTACAAAAATACTTTATAGATTTCTTCTGGAAAATTACCAAAGTCGACCAAATGTAGTGGTAAAGGATTGGATAGTGATAAGTGGGGATGAGGGGATTAAGGGAGAGGGATGAGGGGATTAAGGGAAATCGGGTAAAAATGATAGGAGACAGAAAATTAGCTGATCAAAAAACCTTGTCCCTGATCGAATGCGTTTTCTTCTGGTACAAGATTGATTAAATTTTTTTCTTATTATTGGTTTTTTTTATATGTTTCAGCTGACGCCACCTACCCGTACGGATACGGATACTCGACCCCGTACAGCTACGCCTCGTTCAACTCTTACCCCGCTTCCTACAACGGTTACTACCCTTATTCCAGGTCGGCTTACAACTACAACGGCTACAATGGGTATTACCCGTACAATGGATACTACAACGGTTACTACAACGGAGTCAGGTCGTACTATCCGTACGCCTACTAGACCGGCCCACGTCACCTGGACACGCACCGAACCGCATTTAATCTTAAGTACCCTAAGCGTCTTCAGCTTAAGAACACTCACAAACTCACAAGTGTAAAATATCATGTGCTTTGGCGGCAAATGTTCACGGTCGGAGAGCGACGCGAAGAGCATTTATTCGGCTCGGCCGTCAGAAAAGTGCCGCAAAAGCCAACATAATGTATTTTTTTTTACCGATTTTTCTATTGTAAATTCATTTCATTTTTTTTTTACCCCCATTTATTTTTTTGATTTGTCAGCTGAATAAAACGTTCGAACGCATACGTAAAAAATTGTGTACCGTACTGACCTTTCCTACTATTCTGAACCCCCTTTATTTTTTCCCGAGGAAAAAAAAAACTCCTCAAAAATCGTTTTTCCACTAAAATGTCATTATTACTAAACGGCAATTATTTTTTTTTTTACCTGGCCATCGAGTGGCTCGCCGACAACGAGTCATCTCTGAAGAACGACGACGGCTGCAAGCTGAACCGCCTTTTGAACTGATGTTTGCCTTTGGATACGTCTCGAGGCATCACCCCGTTTCTATGAACAAAAAACCAAACACAGTTTAATAACATTTGTGTACAATATTTTACTAAAAATAAAAAGACGTTATTAAAAAATGTATAGACAGTCTTAAACCGACGAATTCAGCGATGGCGCTTTGGTGTTGGTTTATGCGACCGACCTGACCCTAAGGTATGTGCCATAATGTGTATTATAATATTATTATAATTCATAATATTAATAATATTTTATTACAATTGTAACATCATTGTTATTCACGATAAAATTGGTCCAGTACCGTTTCCTAAGTATTGTGTTGTGTATAATACATACATTCTTTTAAAAACCTCAAACGAATAATAAGTTTTTAGTATAAATTAATATTTTTAAAAACTGTTGTATGACACATCTATTGCGAAAAATAAATTAAAATAAAAACAAATTTTCATAATTTTCAAATGGAAAAAAAAGACCAGTTAAAAATCGGTATTGGACAAGATTTCGTAAAAATGCGATCCAGTTCGTATCTTTTTACAGTATTAAAATCGAGCCATCTTAAAAAGGCGAAGTTAAAGTAATGTAATAAGTTAATAGTTATCTGAAAATAAATTACTTGCATATTAATATTATAATCTGTATAGTAAAAATGTTTAAAAAATTAGTGTTGCAAAAAGTGTTTAGAGTTTATGGCTAAAAAAAAATTGTTTATTCTCGCGTTTGGTTTGTACACGAAACTTTTAACAAAAGTTGTATTTTTTAATAAAAAATGTTATGGTAAACATTAAAAACTTTGAGCTTAGCTAGGGTTTTCCCCAATTCTTAAAATACAACTTTAAAATAATTTGTTTTTTCTTAACTTAACCAATTCTAACTTCGACTAGTTTTTTTAATAGGCAACTTTTCTTACATTTTATTCAACAAAATCAAGTTATAACTTATACATTTAACTCATTAATTATGGAATTAATTCTTCTATTTAAAACAAAGTATGTTTAATATTTGTCTTTAAATCGAGATATCAAGATAAGATGTAGAATTATTTAACCCTTCACTGCATAATGTTTCATACATGGAACAATTGTATTTATTGTTTATATCTGTTCATGCTATACACCTTTGTATGCACAACGTTCCATAATGTTCCAAATTCTTTAATAAGCGTTTTCCGTGAAACCAAAACTAAAAAAAAATTAATTTTAATTTTTTTAAGTAGTATTAGGTACATTTATATCATATGGTTAAAAAAAAATGAATGCAGTGAAGGGTCAAAATACATGTTTTAACATAATATTATTGTCGTTGTAATGATTTTCATCATTATTTAATATTACTACCATTTACGATTACCCGGAAGTTATTTCATCACATTCAGTTGTAAGGATTCCCTATAGTCGTTAGATAACACCGATCACACTTCGTCACACTGTGCTGGCGGCATTTGTTTTTTTTTTTTTTTTTTTGTTACTGTTGAAACTTTTCAAAAGCGTTTTATCGCGTTATTAAAATTTCAATAATCGTAAAAGCACACACAAATGCTCGCGATGAAAATTTATACATAACCGTTAATTTATTCTGACCGCGTATAATAGATTCAGGCAGTAAACTCGACGGTGCCACTAAAACCTCAAAGGCTGCAAAGGGTTGCGCTTTTGCGCAAGAGAATCTTATTAAAACTCGGCGGGGTCGCACTTGTGGCAGACGCACCTTTATCTACTCTCCTCACTACCCCTGCGCCTCAACCCTCCCTCTTAAAATCAAGAAGAAAGCCACTTTTTGACACGCCTTCGCCTCAACCTCTGCAAGCCGGTCGAGGGCGATTAATACAAAAATGCAGTAGCGTTAGCTACATTATACACATAGCAAACACCTATGGGCGTGTTCAGAAAACCGTGGACCGTAAAGGCAAATTACAAAAACCGCACAGCCCCCCCCCCCCCACTATTTAGGTGTACTGACTACAATATTTCTGTCGAAAATGTCAACAACTTTTTTATACTTGGATAAAAACGCACGTGTTACAATACTATCAACATTGGCCGATATTTGATACACTATTAAATAACGCTATTAAATAGGTGGTATAAATTTCAATCGTAATTTTGTGAACAAATTTTATTTTTCCTTATAATTATACACCTAATAAATAATGAGGTGATAAAACTAATAAAACTTGTTCAACTAATACTTGATACGCGTACCAACGGACATTCGATATTTTTGACATTGATATATGTTCTGCATCTATGCGCATAATTAATGTCTTAAAATATTAATACTTGGAATCGTTGATACGTGCCCACTTCTGGTCAGTAAGAAATAAAATATTAACAACACAAACGTTTCAATTAAACGTCTTAAATACTGTGATAAAATTAAGTAATTATACATTATTTTTTCCATTACACCATTAACTAATTGTTCTAAATAAAATAATCACTCATACGTTTCATGTTCAATTTTTTTTTATTTTCCATTAGAACACTGACGAATTCTCAACGTCACTCAGAACCCACGAAAATGTTTTAAAAACTAACGAACATTTTCAACTCTTAAAAAAGAACTCCTTTCTCTAAAATAAAAAATGTTGAATATCATATTATACCATATTGTCTGTTAGGATCAAAATCTGCTAAGTACCCAGATTTATATTGAAAATTATAGTACAAGTATTTTTACGGACCTTATAGGAATAATAATTATATATATTATCAATAAAATCTAATTTATTTAAATTCATCGTTGAGACCAGATCTGAAGAAATCGCCGTTAGTCTTGGTTTCCCGTAAATTGAAAGTAATTAATAATGCATGTGTATAACCTTTGACCGAAGCGTTGGTTGACGATTTAATCTTTAAGAACACCTGCGCTCTCCTAGGACCCCAGTGAGCTATATGTAGGCCCTACGCTCATAGGGTATAATTTTCCTTAATTTTCATAAAAGCTTACATAAAGATTAATATATAACTCATTGCACCCGCAACACAATTTAATTATGTTTTCTCCCTTTTATAAAATTACTATAAGGATTAACGGCAAAACTAAAAATATAGATTTTCTGAATATTTGTACTAATTTCTACAGTTTATAAAATAATATATATTTTTAACAATAATAGCCTTTGATCATTTTTTTAAACACTATTTTTGAACACCTGTGCTCTCTTACGGCCAGGGGGATTCATTCGTATGTCCATAGGGATAATTTTCATAAGAGCTTCCTTAATCTATAACTCATTGCACCCGCAACACAATTGAATCATATTTTCCCCCTTTTTAAAATTACAGTGCAGTGGCCTAATTGCCTATACAGTTTAAATAGTCAGTGTGCAGATCATTGGCTTGTACTCAATTATCTACAATATACATACAAGAATACTCTACAAAAGTATAAAAAAAAAATCACCTACACCATGAACAATAACTGCGCCACTCATCGAAAATAGACAAGTTTTACTCCAAAAATATTATACAATTAAATACACATGCATAAATTGATTTCTAAATGGCAGTAATGTTAGAATTTGAAGGTACTGATTGTTTAGTCATTCTAATTTTATCTTCTTGCGTGTCTTACCCCTTATAAAATGTGTGATCGATCAAACCAATACTTACTACAAAAATGAATCTTGTTTTCGCCATTACTATAATGACTCTACAACGATCATTCAGTTAGGTTAGGTTATAATAATAATTTCGACGACATCATACAACCAGTAACTGCTCAGATCTGCGTCTAAGTTAATAAAACGTGTTCCTTTAATGTATAATATTAAACAAAAAAAACACCTAAATAGTAAAAATACAAATTTGAGCGCATTATTGTCAATACGACGATTTTATCGGTATACCATAATTCTACCATCTACGGTTTCGCATCGAAGCGGTTGTTCAAAAGTTATTTAATCACTTTCTGTAAATTCCCGAAGACTTCCCGACCATCCTATCAACCATGGCTTTTTATTAACAAAAAACCAATACATAAACAAATAATTCGATTTTTTTTTTTCGCCAATATAATACACAACAATATCACTAATAACGTAAAATAGTACAAACACGTATACCCTACTCGAGAGAAACTGCGACCAATATGTGTGTGATTATCCTTAGCGGACAACCCGCGCGCACCTGAAGATCATCCGCTATGTACAATAACGTCGCGACGACTATAATGTTTTATTATTATTATTATTATATATATATTTATATGTTATTTTTATATTATAAATCACACGGTCGGCGTGGATTTCGACACCTTTACGACACCGTCGTGCGACACCGAGAGCCAAAACGATTAGACTGACACTGCGTCGGGCCCGATAACATAACCGTTAACGTGTCGAGTCGGTAAAACTAAAACACACACACACGCGGGCGCGCTCGCGTTTCAAAAAAAAAAAAACCGTACTTGAAATATAAAACACAAAGTGAAAAACAAAAATACCACCAGAAAACGGCGTCGGCGTCGGCTCAAGTGGTCGGTCGTGCGCGGCTCAACAGGTGTCCAACCGTAAAGCGACTTTTCACCGCACTTTTACCGTCTCCGTCTGTTCCGCCGGCGTTGGGTTTATCTCGCCGTCGAACAACGCCGGTAAGTTAATAGTAAACAGGTCGGCAAGTAAGTAGTACGTGCAGTGAGTTTGGTGCGACAAGTGAGAGCGGACAGCACCGCGGCGGCCGGCCAGGAGGGTTCGAGCACGGGAACGACTGGGAAAATCTGCAGGGAAAACGCTTTATCCCGCCTTAGCGCTGCGGTGACGCGCATGCCGGGGCCAGTCGCCGTCGGCAGCGCGGCTCACCCACTCTCTCCCGGTCCTGTCTTGTCTCCCGTGCTATCCTGCAAGTGTACATCCGTTGCCGCCGGTCTAGGTACGACCCCGTATAATCACATACAATACACGGTAACGTTAATTATTCTTATTGTTATCGCGCGCACAACGATAACAAAAATAATTACACCCCCGCAAAAGTCAGTTTTTTTAGATGTCTTAGACCGAAAACCCTGACAAAATGTCGACTACCCGGCACTGGTCACCGATTTCGGTTCTGGCTATTTCACTTGAGTATGTTGGAAACGTATTTCATATTTTTTCTTCTTTAAATTAAAAAAATACGTTTTAATTTTGAAAAACTAAATTGTTCAATTGAAATTTCATTTCCAACATAACCTCGTATAAAGCGAGGTCAACAAATTCGAATCTTCTTACACAACTGAAATTGAACCAGTCATAGTCCACATAAATTTGTCGCAGATAAAGCATTTTTTTTTTTACCACTAAAATGGATTTTAAATTGTAATCATAATTTTTAAGTTAACACACACACTGTAGAACAATATTTTTTGTTGGAACTTTAACTTTCTGCTTCTTCAACCAGAAACGACGGACAAATGTAGAAAATGTACAATTTTTTACTAAAAAAAAAGTTGAAATGTTTTAAAACAAATTGCTTATAGCATTCAATTATATGAACCTAAATTTTACATAATGACAAATGATTTATGACTATAAATCATCTACATAAGTCTACAGTAAATTAGGGAATAATAATAACCATGAATAAAACATGTTTTTAATATATATACCAACTCACAAGCTACTCGCAAAAAGTAAAATGTAAAAATCACATTTTATTTTTAAGCCCTGGCTGTATATTACATAGTAATTAAAAAAAAAAGGCCAGTAAATGCTTTTTAAGTTATTAGCGTTAAAATTCTAAAAGCGGGAAGCAAAGTAAACGCTCTTGTTGTCTGGCTAAAACACCGTACCTCTCTTTCATTTTAAATGCTAATAATATTAATTCCAAGAATAATTATTCAATACTGCTGCTATCGACTATTACTAAAGGATATCAACTTCTCCCACCTCGTTTCCAGTTAGAGAGATCATAACTATAACTTAACAAGACCTACGCAGTAAACAATGTTAGAAAAACAACTTACAAAAGATATCAGAAATATAGATTAAAAATAAGTTTCTTAACTTGAGCGTTTATTCGAAGTCAGTCCAGCTAATCTGTAACATGACGTATAGAAGTACACTGATCTGCGCCAATGACATATTCTAAAGTTATGTTTTCCAGAAGCAACTGGTAAGTGCCAGGCTGAGAAAATCATTGGTCTAGCGGTGTTGTTTCTCATATTGACATTGCAGTTTACACTAAAATATAAATTCTGTAATGCGAAATTGACTATGCCTAAAAGGTCCGTAAAAGCCCCTTTTTTTCGCTTGTAATAAAAAAAAATTCACCAGTTTACATGTGTGTACACTTTACTAATATTATATTATCATTAACTCGTTCGGACTCGCAACAGTCGGTTTCGACAACAATAAAACAATAATATGCTGTACGTGACCATCCATATAATATAGTATGTACTCTGTCTGTTGTCAGTGTGTGGGCGGAAAGAGTTACAAAAAAAAAGTGTTGTTTATACGCATAGATGACATAAAAAAAAAACTAATAATTTATTCCTCGTCCACCAGAGAGGAAAATATTGTTTTTCAATGTAGATATATGTGGATATCTCAGCGCAGATATGTGACCGGTTATTATTATTTTTATTATTAACTTTTTTTTTCATCGGTTCGTATAATATGTCAAAAGGAGCATTGTATTGTATTGTTTTTAATACGCTTTTATTTTCCCAAACCTAATCCCCGACAAGCTGTCGACCAAATCCAACCAAACCAGTCGCCTCATAATAAAAAGCCATACTTAACATATCATTTTTTATTTTTTGCCATAATTAAAACTCAAAATTCGTCCAAAAAAACTATACGGTATGACTGGGAAACAAATACCAAAATAAAAATATTTTAAATAATTTTTCTCGCTGATTAGAATACACCCAAATTTTTGTGTGAAAAATCAAATTTTTTTGTAAATATTAATAAATATTTATTTGGTTTTATGTATGTCTTTTGGAGACTAAAATAATGTTGAGAAATAGGATGAGAATTATTATCTTAATAATTTTTAGCGCTACAATATAAAACGTATATTGTGTATCATAGCATAGTTTAAATATACTAAGTATATTTAATTTATGATCATAGTTAAAATAAGAATTTACATATTTTCTTCAAATTGAAAATCTGGGAAAATCCATAGTGAAAACTGAGAAGAGAATTTTTTTTTAAATTACTCACAACACATTAATTACAGATTAAAAATATTTATTTTACAATTTCAGAAGCGATTTACAAAAAAAAAATACTTAGTAGTTGATCAAATTGGTAGCAAATGAAAATTTAACAAAACCACTAGAAGAAATGTTACACATTATGACATTATTATAAAGAGGAAATGTCCATAATTGAAAAATTATTAACTATATTCGATAAGTGAAACCAATTATTATTGTTTTTTAACATAATATTAAAATAATGTAACTCGTTTGTTTGATTAAAGTAACTATACAAAAACCTATTAACATAAAAATGTGTCTATAGAAACAAGTGGCGATGAGTATATACAATGTACAGTTAAATATTTGTATTACACATTTTTGAAATAAACATAAAAATTAATATAATATATATTTGCATGCTTTATTTATATAATACCAGGCTCGAATGCACATTAAATACTATGTAGTGTACCTACTTTATCGCCACCAATATGGCATGGCTTGTCAAAAAGCTAAATATAATGTCCAAAAAAATAATCAATAGTTACTTTTTATTTGGGTCTCGCGGTTATAATAATTCATTTAAACGTTGTAATTACTCGGAAAAACAAATTGTTTTCGCTCGATAAATATAAATTATTTTTTTACGTTAAATCGACCACTCTGTATATAAAGTTTAAAAAAATAATAAGAATAAAAAAAATATGCGAGTTCGGTTTTGAACTCGAACACTACTCGTGCCGTACAGTATATAGCTGTCGACGACTGTGTTTATTGTGTGTACTTACATTCCGTCTGGGGCAACAACAAAAAAAAAAAAAATAAATAACTCTATTTTTGTGTGTATTGTGCCGTGCGACAATCAGGTGAAGTATTAGATTGACAGAAAACGCGAAAATATGTTGCACTCGACTTCGGGATAAAGCAGTTTTACTTCCTTTGGCTTTATCCGGTACGTCACGTCCTATACGAGAAGTGCGGCGGACATCCAATAAAATCTATAGAAATTCCCGAATAATATATATATATATATATAAATGCATGTATACATGTAGATATATTTTCAAATGTATAAGCCACTCGAACAAACAACTCTGAACTGCTTGCTACAGCGACACAATAGAGCTGTACGGTATACTGCGGAAAAAATAAAATAATAATAATAAAAGTTCACAATACGATTCGGAGGAAAAATAAATTTAATATAAGTACAAGTAATCGAAAATAATCATAGATTCCGGCATCCGGGAAATTAGTATTAGTAGTTGTAACTTTGTATAATGTCATATTGTACACAATCGCAAAAATACTTTTGCAACTTATTTGAATATTTTCAACAAACTGTTTCAATTTTTTAAATTATTATTTTTTTGCTATTTCCGGTACAAAAAAAACAATCCAGACTGGGGTTTGACAAGAAAATCACTTTAAAAAAATACTAGTATTGTAAGGTTAAAAGTTATACATCAATTTTTTAGAACCTCATATAAATGCTATAGTTTCTTTTAAATAACAAAAAAAAACGTTTAGCTAATATAAATATTAATTAAAAATTGCTGTGTTAAAAAAAATCTACTTATTTAAATATGAAATATTTTTATTCGTTAATTTTTTTTTTTAAATGTCAGTATTTTTTACTAAATTGTACCTAGGTAAAAAAATATTATATTTATATTTTTTTAATTTATGAATGCTCGTGGGGAAAAACATCTCATGTGCTACATGAAGAATATTTACATACAACTTTACAATGAAGAATATTTTTTTCTGTATTCCGGAGTACTAATCTTAAATTGTTAATCGTGCACCTAGGAGGGTATTTCTCGTGAACGACGATTGTCTGTTACATAAACTATGTAAAGTAAACCAGCGTCGATCTTCATTACAGGTAATTCGGAACATATTAATCCGAAATGTGTCTACAGCTCTGTTGTAACATCTGCGGTAGCCCTTCGTGTACTTTTGGCCTATTGGACATTTATAAATTCGGATACGATCCAATTCGCTAAGTAATCCTATCCCTGGGTGGATAAATAATAGTAAAGATCTATTGCACAAACAAACAACATTGTATACACCACATAGAACGAGTCGGGGGAGGTCAATTACAGCTGGGTTTGACTAAGAGTCATCTTTATTGGTATTATTAATAGATAAAAAGAAAAAAAGAAAATGAATTCATCTTTGATGTGGAAAAATTATAAGACAAGTATAATATATAAGACATAGTAATCATAGTGCCTATGAATTTTGGTAATTTTATACACTATATATATATATATATATATATGATATTAATTTAA